TTTAACCTTTTCCTAAGCTGTCTTTCCCCCCATCATTACTCCGGTTAGTGTTGCGGAGGGACGGTACCACTTACTTAGTCTTACTTAGTCGCTTCTACTCAAGACCGCAGACCAGGGCCGCGTCCCGGGGGCCGCTTATTGTTTTTTAGTTCAAAAACGTTTATACTATTTTAATTTCTAAACTCTCTTTTCCCATCATTCCTCCAGTTACTGTGCATGTTGCAAAGAGAATAACTCGAGTTGGGGCCCAATTTCTACATTATTTTTTTCCTTCTCTCTAATCCTACCCACAGGCTTGTCACCAAAACACTACTTAGTCACAACACAGAACAGTGCTGAGAGAGGGTATTCCCGATTGAATTGTTGGATAGATTTTTCCCTATTTTTTAGGAAAACCACGCTTTGTTTTAAATTTATCCAAGGCAAGGGTATTCCCCTAAAATTAAACTTTGCTTCCGCTTATCTGTTGACCATGCAAATCTTTCTGCATTAGAATAAGATAATGCATGGAACAGGGTAATTCGAGTTTTGCGAAAGTGCACATCGACTTTCATCGGAAAATCTTTGAGAATTATCCCTTAGACATGTATAAAGTTTCATTTTAAGAGATTCCCTATTAAAGTCCACACAATTTTGACAGGACGTTGTTTTTCTTGTTCCATAAAAGGATCGCTAAAATCTACGCCTGTTATTGTTTGTTCCTTAAAAGGCTTGGGTGTTTGCTGACAAAGAACCTATAAGATGACTTTGACGTCAACCTCTATTTTTAAACCGCATTTGGCAATTTGACCAATCAGAAATTGACATTCGAGAACCAAGATGGTGTCGGAACCTTAGGGATGAAAACTCGAAAGCGGGCAAGCTAGCACAGAGTTTCTTCTGGTTGTTGGTTTGAGACCTTAGCTTTCCCTAACCTTGTTCAACACAGCTTTCAAATGAGTGAGTCTGGAGTAGATCTCGACTTTGACCTTCTCAGTCCGGACGACTTCGATTCGCAAGACGAAGGAGAGATATTTTACAAGTTAAAGTCGAAGCCACCGAGGTAAGGATTTCATAGTTGTTTTATTTTGTTCATTTTATTCATTTAAGTCGTCCCTGGGGGTTTTACTGTATGCTTGTATAAATTGTGGAGCCTTTCTCCTAATGTCTTTCGTTTTAAACTCGATAAAGGATTGATTTCCATGCAGCGACATGCAGAGCACATTTTGTACCTTGCTCATCGTCATCACTTCCTTACATAATGTCATGAGCTCGAATTGCTCACTTGTACATGGCATGGTTTCACCTTTTAGTAAATGACGAAAGGGCATGCGGTTTTAAAGAACTCAATCGAAACAATTCAAAAAAAAATTCATTTAGTTTATTGAGGATGCTCATTTTTGAGCACGTAATAAGCGTGAAGGCGTGTGTCGCGACGCCATCTGAGCTTTCATCATGCACTTCGGTTTGAGCGCTCGCCAATGACGGAAAGTGAATATTTTTTGGATGATATCTAATACTGAATGGTACCAGCGTAGGTCGGATATCCGTTTAGTTTTTATTTTACTTGTCCGGGCACACAATGTTGTTTGAAAAAACATGATACATTAATATTATTAAGCTAAAACTTACGCTCAATTGATGTACTAAGTAAACCCTTTATTCTGCCTTCTTTTGCTTGGGCAACCTTGTACCATCCACCTGATATTTGCTATGTACTTTGTCAATATGTCTTATCTTAGTAGGCGTACATTTATACAGTGTCAAGTAATATTAGATTGTTATTTTTCTGTTTGTCAAATAAGGTTAGAGTATGTAGTCGGAGAAGTGCAAAAGTATAAGTTACTATTAGTTTCGTATTATCTCAAAGATTCCTTATCTTTTGTTGTTAGCTTCGCAAAATACACCTCAATCCCCAAATTACATAAGTCAATATTACTTTCTAACTTTTACGATTCACCACCTTTCGCTTTTTAATAGAGTCGAAGCTGTTGAGGTTATTGTTGCAAAACGGGAAACTGTTATCTCTTAAATCAATAGATGTAGATTTCCCGGGTTTCGATTTCAGTTTTCCGAGAAAGTGTTTTGTAGCTTTCTTGGCCATCCTGCTTTGTATTTTATGAAAACAAATTTTAAAACGCCTTAATCTCTAGGTGGACGTTTTGATTTTAAACTGGTTTTTAACAAAACAGGCACTGATCGTCTTGAAAATTCTAGCACGTGCCTTTGTTTTGGTTAATTGAGCTCTCCAGGGACAAGGCATTTAAATGAAATAGCCAAGCTGTTATTGTTAAGAACATTCATGTGATCTTCATGTGGAATATATTAAATTGAAAAGCGTCTATGAAAAGAGATAGAAGATGGTGTGCTTGTAAAATATTCTAATGTTTTCTTAACAAAATGAAGGCAAATTAGTAGATTTCATATTTGTTCTCCTGTAAAGATTAAGATTCGCTGATGAGAAAGTGGCAGAGCTAGAGACTAGCTCAAGTCTTTGCAGTTAACTGTTTCCAAAATAGAACCCAATGGGATGCCCATTAATCCATGGCCTGTCCTAGAAATTATTCAGTTGTTACCAGTTAACAGTTTTCTCTACAGTTCTTGATTGCAATGTTTAGAATGTTTTGTCCTTTTTACCAAGTCAAACAACTAAGATAAGACACTATTTAATGATTTAAGAATGCCCATAGCAGTAAATCAACGCTATTGCCTGATGAAGACCTGGGGAACGGAAGCGACAATCATGAGACAAGTGATAAACAAAACCCTTTATGCCCATAGCAGTAGTTTTTAGAAATTATAGTTCTGGAAGACAGGAGAGAATTCCATTAAAACAAAAATTCTAGACAAAGTTTGAATGTTCACCTTCAAAATTGTGGTTACTGATGAACGTCAAAAAAAGTGAGGAAGTTTGTATGATTCAGTCAACATTCCTTTTCTTACCAAGACCAAAGTAGTAGCAGTATCGTCAATGCTTTTGTAGCCCGTTAGATAAAAATTAGTATAATCAACAATGAATTAAAATACAGTAACTTGTACAAGAGATTGCAATAATTATTTTTATACCCCCAAATGAACGGAACACAACACACAGCATATGTGAATTTTAAATTGCTCTTACAGTCTATGGCCGGAGAGAATGGCTGGTTACTGAGCCAGTTACTCTGAGTAATGAAATTTATCTTTTAGCAAAACATTTATTATTTTATAAATGATACCAAGAACGATTGTTACTTGCCCATCAGTATGTGCTGCTGATTATCGTTGTTGTTGTTTGAGCTGTAAATGATCAGAATAGAGCATTTAACATCCCCAATAATATTTCTAAACATTCTTGGAACGAGAAGTCTAAGTTCATTCTGTCTCTGGTACTTGCCGAAAACACCAAAGATCTTGTTGCTTTTTTGCTAAATACTCATACCCAGGTTAATGTGTTGAGTTTAGGTTGCATTCTCCTGACGTCAAACACAACAGCAAAGGTGTGCTACAGAAGAGCCAGCAATACTCGTCACAAATCGTTGAAACAGACACTGTTTCTCTCAAATTTTCTAGAAAAATCCTGAGATTTATACTTCACACTGTTTTCCCCCCTGAAATGTGCCTTCTCCCTCCCCAATGTTGAGCCACACGTATTTGGAAGCACTGAGACCACTGTGATACCCAAATCAACATTGGAGAAGGGGAAACAGATGCAAGTGTTTCAAGATTTTTGATGAGTATTGCAGGTCCTGGTGACTCGCTTTTGTCTTCATGCAATAAGGAAGCCTCAGTTCTTGCCAAAATAACGAAACACAGGGCACTCACTTTTATAACTTCAAAGCCTTAACCGGGCTTGCTACAATTTTTCTGAAAACAATGCCTTGAATAATCACACCATTTCCCATTAAACTATTTAAGGCTTACTTTATTCAGGTAAATAGGTATGTATTGTATGTTTGTTCAACCCATTTTCTTCCAGATGTCATTTTTGCTGAAAAAATTAAGTTGCTTTGAACTAGTCTAGCTGTCAGAAAGTTTCTGATGCAAAATTTCTGCTTTTGTAGTTTGAGAATGTGCAGGTGACAGATTTTTCATGATCTGTGGACAAAATATTTTATTCACTGCGCCCTCAGTTGCCACTCTCTTTTCTTCCTGCTTTCCTTTCCCAGTTTTCTTTTTCCTTGTTGGACATTCTTTATTCTTCATTTTGATGGGAAAGGGTTTTGCAATAAAGTGAGGCTTTTGAAATTATTTTAAAGGAAATAAAGGTGCATAGTGGAACAAGAGTTTCCTTGAAATTTCCTGTTTAACAGCGTGCAACGAAAGTACATGTACAATCCTGTATTGTCCCATAGCCAGTGGCTGGTGACATTTTTTTGGGAATTCAAATTACAGAAGAACTGTTAATTCTGCCCATCAAAGTCTTCTTTGGGTTATTTGAATTATTTTTTGGACTTGTGCATGCAAGCTGTGACTTGCCCAAATAGCAAGCTGTAAACTGGCTTTGTTTAAGTTACATGGTATTTTGTGTTTTTTTCTCTGGACTGTTAGTAACATAATCATGCTCCTTTTGGTATAAGTAGGCACCATATTTTCATTAAAAGTGATGATTTCACAAGCCGTACAAGGGATGTGGTTCTATGGGGGTGGCTGTGGGCGGACCTTGAGGTGTGACTCTTTTAAGGACTGCTGTACAGTATCTGTTTTGCTCATAATAAGTGTGTTCCAGTGCATGGCATAGTGTTTGATTGTAGAATATTACACTTAAAGTGAAAGAATCAGTAATGTTGTTGAGCTGAAGGTGTAGAGAAACTGGTGCAAAAAGGTATTTTTTAAGGCAGTTCTGTTAGCTGATTCCAGGGTTCATTATTTTCAATAGTTAAGGCTTGTGTTTCTTTGTTTGTGTACTATATATCTAATTTTTGGAAAAGCTTAAGTTAAATTTGACAGAAGTGAAATGAATTGTAACTTTCCTTCTGGTTTAAAAGTATCTCAAATCATCTTACAGCATGAAATGTTTAATATCATTATGTTTTGTTATGCCTGATTTTATGGTCCAGTGAAGCTATCTGAGTGTCTGAAGTGTGAGCTGCCACGTTTCTCTCATTGTAATAACTCCTTGTGTCAGAGCTAATTTAGGAATGTCCATGAAAGGAAGTGATTATGTGAGGGGATTCCTCTATGTTGCATGAAGCCCAACCCTGAACTTTAAACCTATAATTTCAAACAATTTTACTATTAAACAACATGCACAGGAAGGGGTGTGATTTAGGATTTTCACTCCTTTTGCACATGGTCAAATACAAAGATTTGTGTTAATAAGGGGTGAGCTATCCTTGTATACAGAGATGTGTTTGTTGTGTCAATGACCTTTTATGGAGTGTTAGAAAGAGTGTTGTGTTACTAAAGGAAGTGGTTTAATTAATTCCTTTAACCTTTACCCCTAGGCCTGGTCTGATCTTTTGTGATGTCATTGTGGCTATTCTCAAATTATCATATTGTCAATTAATAAAGTCATGGCATGTCCATGTGAATTCATTGCAACAACAATCTTTCCAAGTAGCAGGAACCTCCACAATATTATCCCATTTTGTACTTAGAGTTATTTCACTGTTTATTTGTCTTCACTGAAGTGAATCATGTCTACAGATTTTGCTGTGCGATACCCTGGGTATTATCCCCATATAAAACATCCACTAAAATGGATTCTAACTTATTCCAATTCTCGTAAAAACAGCCAGGATTTATCAGCTCTTGGGGTGCTGCTAAATCGTGTTGACCCAATCAAGAAAATGTCCACTCCAATAACAAGAACCAACTTCAAGCAACAGCTACAACGTCAGCAACTGGAACAGCAAGATCAGTTGTTTCAGACACAGAAACCGAGCCAGCCTGATTTTTCCCAAAGCCAGAGCATTGCTGTTCCAAGGACGTCCTCTCCAACAACAGTTCCTCCAGATGTTCCTTCAAGTGTGCTGCAGGTATGATTCATTTTAATTGCCACTTTTTTTCAGATATGTGGTTTGAGTTGTTCATCAGCTTGCTTGTGTGAGAAGCATAACTGCAGACTATATTTCAAGAGAGCAAAATATGGTTAAGAAAACTCGTGGATAAATCATGTCTTGATAGCTGGCCCCAGAAATACATTCAATGTGGAGGGAAATGTTCTCACACGTATTTTTCAATATCATGAAGTTTGTACTTGATTTGCCTTTCTTAGTATTTGTTTTTTAGGGGAGTTTGCATTTTTTACCTGGTTCATGATATACAGAAATTTTGGCAGATTATGAAATGCAACTTGCATACCTGATAATATTATAAATTAACCTTATAGGAGTGGTATTTAAAAGCACAGAATATAATAGCTACAAAGCAGCTTGAATTCTAGCATCATATCTGGAGTTGAAATACATGTGATTTATTTTTACAGAAAGTTGAAATTTTTTTTTTGCATTTTGCTTTATACATGCATGTGCATGAAACCTAGATGTTTTGCAAAGATCTATAAAGAACTTGTCAATGAAAACAATAATATTGCCTTTATAATATAGGCACTCATTTGATATCAAAAAGACTCTCTCAATTAGTCATAGGATGCTTTATTATTCTGTTTTTTTTTTTGTTGTTTCTCAGTTTTTATATTCCTAGAGCCGTTCATGTTGATTATGTAATATTTTTAAGAATTTGCTTGCTTGTAGAATTAGCAACAAGCAAAGGCAAATAATGAAAAAGATACTCTCTCGGGAAATAACTCTATCACATTGAAGTCACTTGCCTTCTTAATTATTCACTGCTTCACACAGTGAACATGTGAAACTGCAGTGGTCATGTTCAAAGTTTGTGGTGGAGATATTTTGATCCTTTGTTTGATGTGTTGACAGATCATGGTGTCATGTTCTCACATTCACATTTTTGTGATTGTGTTGGAGTCCCAGGGGAACAGATATGATATCTCTTTTCTTCCAAACATAGCAGCATAAGATTGACCTTTCTTGATCATATGGATCATTTTTCACCAGTTGTCTCTTCTTCTAATAGACTATCTTTTTCCATGTTTGGTCAAGTGGCTACTATGTTGTTATTAAGAGGTGTGCATTAAAACTATTTATTTCCAATGCCTGATTACAAAGCAAGGTTAGGAGTCCACAAGAATAATTACTCTCAGAGACAATTTTTGAGCAAAAAGTTATTTTTTCTACACCTTTTCTAGAACAAAGAGAATTTATTGAAAATGGTATGTGACAAGGAAATGGGGTAATCAAACTTGCCACAAAGTAGCTCTGGTTTCCTGTTAGATAACAGCTTTAAATTCGTTTCTTCAGGTCAAAACCCAGCTAGAAAATCCAACTCGCTACTTCATCCAACAAAAACAGAAAAGGCAGCTCAAAGAATATCTCAAAGCACAAGGCTCGCCATCCACGGCTGGAGATTTAGCTATTGCCGTGACCAGTGCAAATCAACCGACATTGAATGCTATAAACCAGCAGGCTGTGGCAGCTCTAGCAACAAGTCATTTAATGGGTCAGCCTGAGAGTCCTATGGCTGTCATGAGTCCTGATGGGAATCAGGCCCCCTCCGACGTGAGTATTCAACTTGAATAATCTTTTCCAGGAGTTTCCAAGAGCAGAATTGTAGAAACATCTCTCATTTTATTGTGCAAGTTGTGAAAGACAGATTGTAAAACGGAGAAGATTTTTTGCAGAGGTTTTATGTGATGTGATTGATCCCCCCTCAAATTTTTTCCCACACATTCAGAAGTGAGAACTGCATGCACATCACATGTGTCCATCGGTAATTGACTGCCCACTGAATTCAAAGAGTTCGTGACAGCAAATGTCATGCAAATCAATAAAGTTTTTGTCTTCCTTTCTTGCTTATTTTATCTGATCACACCCGATTATTATTCTAGATATTTAGGGTCACTTTTAATTACCTTGAGTGAACTTTAATTCATTGAAAAAGGACTTAACCACTAGAAAGGTGATTTCATTTGATAATAATTCAGCTCATCAGTGTTTTTTAAGGCCTTTCTTTTGGATTTTTTGTTGGCTTCATATGTGGTTTCATACATTCTTCTACATTTGTAGTCCATGAGCATCAGTAGTTGATCAGATTTGTCTGGTAGTAAGTGTTTTAACAAGTGAATTACTTTTTAGGATGTCCTGTGTGTAGTTTCTAATAACTTATTGCTTGTTATGCACAATTTTTTCCATTTTATAGTTTGACAACATCGTGGATGATATTATAAGGTTGGTGAAATCATCTGTAAATGTGATTCTTTTCATTTTATATGTTATGTTATTTAAGCAAGTCAGTTGTTCTTTATGCACTTCTTAAGCTTTTACCCTTTATTTCCCCTTGGCAAGCACCGTGAGGACTTTATCAAAATTTTAATGTACATTCCAAAAAGCTATCAATTGTTGCAAACTGCTTGTGGTTCTGTTTGCTTTGCTGTATGTTTATAAAAGCAAAAAGGTTACATACAAATTTAGCCTTTAAACCTCTGAATCAGTGTATATGCACAGCTGTATTCTCCACATCTTTCTCAGTGCATTTCATATGGGAGAATTTGTTTTACAGTCAGTTTAACCTTGGAGATTGTTTTAGTTTTTTTCATGATCTTTTTGGTTGATTAAACAGTGATATATTAAGGAGAAATTAGATGCTTGTCACTGTCAAGGGTTAAAAGGTTAAGATATTAAATTCTAACCTTGATTTCCAGTCATCAATGAATCAGATGACAGTGTGACTTGATGTCACTATAGTCATGACAAGGTCATATGATAGTGGTAAACATTATTTTGTAACTGTGCCCTTAATTTCTTAGTTCATTTTAATCACACATCTCTGAGGTTCAAGCTGATGTTCTTACTTTCTCTTCTTAGCCTTGAGTCAAATCCTATTGACGACGGACTCCCTTGGGAAACTGCATTAACTCTTGGCTCTGTAAGTTAACAGTACTTACGGTAGTTTAGTTTTAACTAATCCTGTCTTTAAGTTATCGGTCTTTGGTTTCTAAAAATTTACAAATATTACCATATATAGAACCAAAGGGGAAGTTTTTCTAAAAGTTAAACCAATGATTAAATTGTGCCTCAACATGATTAGAACTTTTTGTCGGTAATATCATTTTGGGGCATATCCATTTCTGAACGTAGAATGTCTTGGTACTTTGATTGTAAAATAAATCTTCACCTGGCATTTTGTGGATTGGAATGTTACTAAAGTTAACATTGTTTTGGCTAAGTTTTGCCCCTAAAAATGATAAATGATGTTACTGTCAGGTAGCTGCTAAAACTAGACAGTCACAGTTTGAAACCTGCATCAGATGCTGCTGATATTCTAGAGAAATATGTACATAATTATATGTAGATTGAAGTAGGAGAAGAAACTGTAAGAGAATTGTTATTAACTAGAAAAAACACTGTAATCAGCATCTCTGTATTCACTTCCGTTGAACCAGAGATGGAATGATTACTCTGAGAATGTATGTGATTGTGCCAAATTTACTGTACATGTATTTTGCTAATCCCAAAATTAAGAATTTCCCCTGTTGGGAAATAATTATTAGTTTGGACATCAGACTTTCAACCCAAGGTTTGTAACCCAATCTTGATTTCCTGTTGTTGGGCGGGACACTTTACTCCTCCGCTGTTATTGTCAGGGAGAGGTTGTTAGGCAATTTATGACATGCTCATAGTTACATAACTGGTCCGTGCATGTGAAAGGGCATATCTTTTCGTGAGTTTCTGCTTTGTCTGTCTGACCAAAGTTCATTTCTTCCAAGGTTCCACAAGTTCCAACAAACAATATGTTCGATTTGTATAATGGTCTTGGGATGGCTCCTTTGGTAAGTTAAATTATTGGTTTACTTCAATTAATTAGTTATCATGAAATCATATGAAATTATTCCCTAATTTCACTTGTCACCATTTGATTACACGTACTAATCTGTGTTCCAGATAATCCTTTAATAGACATTCAAGTTCCTTGCATGTACTACATGTAGTTTTCTTTGAGCATTAGTTAACCCCTTCTTTTTTAGTTGCCTTAATTTTGTTCAATAATGAAAGATATTACGTTACTGGAGCTTTAGAGACCTTTAGGTTCGAGGACAAAGACGACAATGAGAATGAGATTTGACTAAAAATTTTTTTCATGTATCCTGCAATGCTTCATTAACTAGTTTTTTTACCAGAAAAATTGGCACTGGTTTTATATATCTCCCAATCCTAAAATGATAAATCTTCTAACATTTGATAACTTGTTTCCGCCACTAAGAAATTCCCACCAAAACTCTTAGTAGAATGGCGAAGGCTATCACATTTTCCTGCCAAGATGACACTGGTTTGTGTTTGCACACTTCTTAAGTGTAGTATTGAGAAAATCTCGTACTTGTGGTCGTCCAGGTCTTAAAGTCTTAAGATCTCTAATGACACTAATACTTACTACTATTTGAAAGTCCAACAGAATTGACAAATTTTGATGTAGTCATGCTAAAATAAATTTATTTTCCATGCTAGTGCATGAAACTTGTTAAACATGTCCGTAGAAAAGGACAGGTGGGAAAAAAAAACTTAAAAAATTTTGCCGTCATTTTCAAGTTACATGTATTTTAGTGTTTTTGAGTAAAGTCTCTCAAAGCCCTTTGATTATAGCTGCCTACTCCTTAGAGAAGATATTGGTACTAATTTTCATGGGCATCAGTTAGTTGACATTACTTTTCGTAGCTTAATTAGCAATGTACATAAAAAGAGCAAGAATTGTCATGATTCTGCTTCTTGGAGACTCTCATTGTGAACAATTTATTTTTGGTTTTAATGACAGCTTCAAGCTCCACCACCTTCAACCAGTTGTCCAGCTGTCATAAAACAGGAACCCCAGGGTAAGTGATGAAATTAAACTTATCGGCCTTTAGTGGAAGAGCTAAAACAAGACATAGACGAGTTCAAGGCTCTTTTTTGGCACTGAATGTACCCAGTAGTCCTTAAAAAATCAGTTGGCTGTTTAAAAGTGAAAATTGATGTATTGCGGAGGAGTCGAACTCATGACTGCCCCAAAAAATCCAGCCGCACTCAGGTAGCCTGCATTGCAGATGTAATGTAACCCTGGTTAGCAGCGTCTGCAAAGCAGTGTTGAGATCCTTGTTTTTGGTTCCCAGAGGACTCAACGAATTACTGAAAATGAATTTCAAATTTCATTTCAATATGATTGGCAAACGACAATGGCTGTTTGAACAGGCCAGTCATGGTGCATACCCAAATCGTGGCCCAGAACACATGGTTTTCATTAAAAATTCTAGTAGTGGAGAAAGGTGCAACCTTACAGGAGAATATTTTAAAAGAGGCTCCATGTCTGAATAAAAAAATGGCCTTAGGCTATGGAATGTTAACTGGAGAATTCTGCATAATAAACAGAGAATTCTCTGATCTCCAGTGCCTAATGAACACCCTGAGAACAAAGATTTTGGTTTCGTTGACAGTTTAACCAGAGTTTAGTCAGGAGGTGAGACTTGAACTTGGGGCCTTTGGATTGCAAGTCCGCCATGCACCCTGATTTCTCAACCACTCTGCCTCAAATTTTCATAGTAATACAGTCTTTTTTTTTGTACCTTTTTTCATTGCTTTTAATGTACATTTGTTGTCTGTAAGACCTCGTTTTTTCTCTAAAGCATATCTTTTGTTTATTTTTCAGAATTGTTGGAGCATCAATTTGCCAAAGACCGACAGAAGAAAGACAATCACAATATGAGTAAGTGTCCTATGTAACCTTTCAGCTCTCATACCCCTTTTTTGCACCGTTCACCTCACATTTCTTAGTCCAGTAACTATGGAAATAGGCCACTTTCATGATGACATCAGTAAACTACAACTACCAGTGACGATTCAGTTTGTCGCTTGCTTCCTTATTTAAATTTATCAATCCTACCGAGATTTATGAAACAACAGCCCTGATTTGCACGTGAAAACAACAGACTGACAGTCAAATATCGTCATCATGCAAATGTCCTAGTATTTATTTACAAACCAAGATACAGTTGAATCTTCTTAACTGAGATACCCAAGTGTAATTATGGAGGTTCATTTTGTAGAGGAATGTGTAAGGCAAATTAATGCTTCTTCCATTCTCAGGACCACAATATTCTGGTCACTCTTAAGAGAAAGGATCAAGTCTTCTGAGAAAGTAAACAAACAAACAACAAGCCCTTGCTACTTCTGTTCACCCTTTTTTATCTGTTGTAATAGACTCTAATGCTTGATATCTTTCCATGTCGTAGTTGAAAGAAGGAGAAGATTTAACATAAATGACAGAATTAAAGAATTAGGCACACTTCTTCCTCGACAAGACTCGTAAGTATAAAGTTGTCGTTTTTTGAAGTTTTTACACCCCTTCTTTGTTTTCAAAATTGACCTGTTTTTGTGCACAAAGTATATAAAGTTAATGATGTCCTAATTTTTGTTGTAGTGATGTACGTCAAAACAAAGGAACAATTTTAAAGGCATCAGTAGATTACATTAGGCGGTTGAAAAAGGAGCAAGATCGTATACGACAGTTGGAAGAGGAAAAAAGAAATAGCGAGGAACTCAACAGAAGACTTTTACTCCGGGTTCAAGTAAGTTAACGATATTAATGTATTTTCTATCAAGTCAGTTTTTACAGCCTCATGTAAACCTTTTCTTTTGCGAGGGAAAATCTGAAATCATGTTGTTTATTTATTTGTTTTGCTTTGGACTCTTGAATTCGTACAGAAACTTAATGTTTAGTACAGTATCCATGGCCTAATAATTTATGCTTTGATAATAACTGTAATTGGCACACAAAAAAGTCACCTTTTGCTTGAAAGTGCCTTACATGTATGTGCGGAAAACAAATAATCAAACAAAAGTTAATTTTTTTTTTTGTAAAGCATTTAAGAACAATTGCCATATTGAGTTTTTGTTTTGTTTTGTCAAGTACAATGTAATTGGTTAAATAGCACCATGTAAAAGTAATGCAGAATAAGGATAAAAAACAGATGAGGTTAACTTTTTTGTTTTGTTTTGTTTATTTCCCCAGGAACTTGAGATGCATGCTCGTGCTCATGGAATTCCTACAACACCTTTAACATCAGACACAACAACAGCGCTATTGTCATCAATTCTCACAGCGAAACCAACTGCTGAGGCTCTCAAAATAAAGCAAGAACCTGTAGAAAGCAGTGTTTGTCGACCAACATCATGTAACCAAGAGAGCCAAGAGGCTATGGACGACTATTCAATACAATCGTCAAGTAACCCTAGCCCAAGCTCCAGCACCATGGATGATGACATGACGGACTGAGCTGCGGCGATATTTCTTAATCAATGCTTCGTTGCTCATGGAAGCCTTCCTTGGGCACAAATTTTCGTTTGGGCCCTAGAGTTGGTTTTGGTAACCTGTTAGATTGAGCCCAATGGATTGGTTCATAATGGTCCAGATTTGACTTGGAGGTGTTTCATTGTTCAAGCAGCAGAGACAGTGCTCGCGAGTGTGAATCTTCAGGGGCGTAGTGCGTTGAGGTGGCAACAAGTCTCAGAAGCTGTAAGAGGAAATTCAGTCTGACATTGTACGAGCAGCAAACATACATGTAGACTAACATTGTTATACTTGTAGAGAGGGAGATTTGGGGTCCTTCGACATGTACGGGCACAACAGAAACAGAAGAGTCTACAGAATAAAGTCTTTTGGGAGACTTGTGTTTTTTTGTTCGTCTGTTAATGTAATCTGTATGCCAGTACCTGTTGTAGGACCTAGGATTTATAGCATGCAAACAAAAATAACATAAAAAAGTAATATAAGCTTGTTGAGTTTTAATCGACACTGCTTCTTAACTGACATGATGTGGGAATTGTGTGAATGGAGATGGGAATAGGACCTGTTTTCACCAACCGGCGTTGACTTACAGCACAACAGCAACTCATAGAACTGTGTTAAATTTTTTGATAATAATTGTTAATTATTCAGGATCATAACATGGCAAATGCTTCGCATACATAACGAAATATGATAGACTGTCTTTATCTATGAAGTTCAGCAAAGAAAAATGCCCTTCTGGTCTTCAGGAATTTCCGGTTTCCTTGATCAGGGCTGTCATTAGGAGCCAGGAACCTGTAATTTTGTGTGGCTGTTGGGAATGTGAGCTTGGCTACTTGATATTTTCACAACAGACGAAAGTATCAAACCCTGGCTACTTTATTTCTGTCAGCCCTGGTCATCTGATCGTTATTTTGTAAACCAGCATACACAGTACTCTTAGATTGGTGTGCAAAACACTTTTAAGGTCGTATTGGTTTGTGTACTTGTTTGTATTCATATTAATTTTGTTATGTTAAATTATTATTCTCCTTTACCTATCACAGCTTCACTGTAACATTTTTAAAGGAAAATAATAATTCAACTTTAAGGATATTTCCAATTAGATGTAATCACAACACAGTCTCCCAGTGTTTAAAGAGTTTGTCAGCTTATGATCCTGAAGGTAACAAATATTCACTGTTATTACTTAGAGAGAGAAAGGCAAACTGACAAATTACAGCTCTGCCTAAGAAAGACAATGTGCTTAAAGATTAATAAATTTTAAAAAGAGTATCTTTTAAAATCATTTTTATAATTATTTCATTACAAAACGATAAGTATAGCTATTAGGAGTGCATTTTAGAGGTAATTTTGTGTGATGTGCAGTACATGTAGCTACGGTTAAAATAGTAATATTATCGAGTCATTTTTTTTTAACCTTACGTGCATTTAAAATGTCACAAATAAACGCTTGTATTTGACCTTGATTTGTTGTATCAGTTTATTGATCGATGAAGGGGTATTTTTTCTAACATTTGCAAGTTGATTTTTTGTGTGCAGTTCTCTTCTCAAAAAGGAGAGCCAGAGCATCCTTGAGAGCTTGGTGGCAGGCTCAAATATGCAGAACCCCCTTTATATAGTCACATGTAGAGAATAATTATGGGTAAGGAAGAAGCTCCCCGCCCACATTCGTCGTGAACCTTCTTTTATTTAAAAAGGCAAAGGTCTTGGTTACTTGGATTATCATCTTTTTGAGGTAATGAAATTATATCTTGGTTTTTGCAAAGAGATGAATATTATTTTACCTAACTTAGACTACGAGTAGTCCCCCATTTTTCCTCAGGGACAGTAGAGCGAGCGAAACGCGGGCGCGCGTGAAAATCACTCCACGCGAGAAAAGGCGAAACGCGAAGGGGAGAGAGAAAAATGATTCTCTCTCCCCGCCGAGTGTCGTAGGGGACTACTCGTAGTCTTACCTGACTTGAAGAGGCAATAGGCCATTTGCACGATGGCGTCATTTTACTACTACGACCAGAATCCTCTTCGTTTTTCCTTTCATATTTTTACATTTGGTAATCCTAGTGAGGTTTAAATAACAAAAGCCCTAATTTGCACAAGAAAGCAAAACCCTGGAGGATTCTGGTCGTAGTAGTAAAATGATGTCATAGTGCAAATGGCCTATTACCCTGGGTACAGAGGTTTTTTCTAGCGTGCGACGAGTATCTTAAAAGGTGCGTGAAAAGCCTCTGGCACCCAGGGTAAGAGGTAATCTATCCGCAAGAGCTTTTTTCCTCATGTGGGTGCGCACCATTTTTTTCCAGGCATCTAGGGTTACATGACTGTGTTTTGATTTTTCCCCCACTCCACCCCCTGTTACAATAATAATGGTACGTCCCTAAACAAAGGGGCTAATTTAGTGAAACGTTTACAAATAAAGCTGTTGTTTTAGAGTCTGAAAACAATAGCTACATTCTTAAATTATACTTGTAAAAGTTTAATTTAAATTTACTCCAGAAAAGACTGAGTATATCAAGCAGCGTGGGGAAGGTGAGGCGGATGTTGCTGAAATAAGGAACTGAGAACTGGTAACGAGCACATGGAGCGGGAAAATTAAAAAACATAGGCACAACATTGATCATTCCCCGTTCCCTACTTCCCATTCCTCAGTTTCCATTTCCACATTTCCCGTTACTCCTTTTCCGTTTTTCTGTCAGTTCTCTTTTTCAAAGGCATGTGCGTATAGCTGCCTTTAATAAGCCATCAAGCATGGGCTTAACAGGAAATTGAGGCAAAATGAGAGCGGGTTATCACGTGTTCATAAAACAATTCAGATATCACATTATTTTTCTTCTCGATCGAACTAAGATTGGCAAATTTTAGAACCAGGAGTCTGCTGCTGGCAACACCATTTGCAGTCCGCAAAGGGCAGCTAACTCCTTTCGTTCTGATTCTCCCCCTAAATTTCCTGTAGCTATTACGTTTTCGTTAAAGTCTCACAGCAACTGCCAGGCACCACTGATCAGAAAGTCGATCTCACTCCCTCTGTTTCATTTCCTGTCTTCTCTTAAGTTTCAAGAAACGTTTACAGAGACGTTTGGGAAGTCTAGATCATACACTACCACGAGGAGGCTAAAAGAGTACATACGATCTTAGCCTGAGAAAACAGCCAACAATTGGCGGCGCCACCACTGGTTTCCCCGCCAAATGACGTCTGAGAAACGAGCGCAGAAATTCCATACTGATGACGCGTCACTACTCAGATCTGGGTAGTGCTTCTGATTGGTCGTGCCGCGTGGGGAATTTGATTCAACCAATCAGAAGCACTACCCAGATCTGGGAAGTGACGCGTTATCAGTATGAAAGTACTGCGCTCGTTTCTCAAACGTAATTTGGCAGGGAAACAAATGTCGGCTGTTTTCTCAGGCTAATACGATCTACAATGCTAACAGATCAGTTGCTATCTTTGGCCCTCTTGCACGAAGATAGAAAGATGTCCCCCTGCCTGCGAAAGACTTATCAGAGATTTTCGAACAAAAAGCCAAGGAACCGTGCCTTATTTTTATTGACGTTAAGTATTTAAGTAATTAACACTAGCTTTCAGAAAGATTCGACTTGAAACTTGAGACCCGGCCCCCATCTTCAGCCTCTTCCTAAAGAAGATACCTAAAGATTCTTTTCAGCATGATCCTCTGGCTATTTTACCTTTAACCGGAAGGGAGTCACGATGCCATATTTCATCCTGCCAATATAAGCTCTCGACCTGAGGAGTTGGGAATTAAAGGGAACATAAAGTGGCGCAGATGGGTCTGAGGCGAATTCCTCAAGGTCTAACGGACTGGTTTCAATCCTACCGCATCTTTTGTTACTGCAAGTAAAATTTGAATCAGAAGCCGCGTTGAGAAAATTGCTAGAACCTCGATCGTCTCCTTCCCACTACGGGGCCACTAGAGCTTGCATCCGATTTAATCAATCTATTGGTATAACTTGACTTCAATGATTTAAGTGAAATAGATAAATATCACGAGAGACTGATCACTTGCGTTCTTAGTCAGTTGGGAAGGCAGACAGTACAGTCTTGTCGCTTCCGACTCGGGTTCATTACTCAACGAGCTCATGCGGACAATTGCCCATGGCAGGAGTGTACTGGATTCTCTGTATGTTCATACATAACATATCCCTTGGGGCAGTCAAGTCTTTACCCGTATGTTCCCTTTATGTTAATGTCATACTTTCTGGGAACACAAACGTTTTCTCCACGCGGCGTTCCGTATGTTAGGACGACATTATTCGGATTAGCGGGTCTAATAAGCACTGCATTAGTAGAATTTATGGAGGGATCTTCGTCGAAGTAATTAAACGGCCGAAGGAAAAATCTTGCCGTGTTTGCAACCGACGCGGTGTTCGGAACATCTTCGGAAGTCGGTATTTGAATCGAACCAATAGTGAGCCAAGCGACGAGATCCTCTTCGACTATTCCCTCGTTTTGGTCCGTGTCAAAACTTGGGAAATTGACAATTGGTTTGGTGGGACTGTTCTGACTGTAGAGAGAACTGCTTTTTCGCTCGGTTGCCCTGTATCTTGTAATAACGAGTGGGTACATAGACCATGGTGCCATTTGTGTGATGTAATCATTTTCTGGTAAAACTTGTTTCACTGCTGACTCTGGTTGGATTAGATATCCTTTCTTGGACCCAAACTTGTTTTGATCGCTGCTGTAAACGTTGTAAAAGGTGGGCTTGTCAAAATCGATTTTCTTAAACTTTGCATCGTTCTCATTTCCATTTTGTTCTCTGCGAAAAACTTTTAAAATTCTTGTTTCCTGTGGGAGCCAGGCGTTAAGTTTTTCTTCCTTACCAATCGTAATGGTTTCGAAAGAATTTCTTGTGCCGGAAACGTCTAGATCTACCTTGTAATGAAAGATATGATCGTGAAGATTCCCAGTTAGTTTGCTGTAAACGTTTTGTCCATACGAGTCATCATCGTTGAATCTGTCGTTGTCAGTTAACAAATAGCCGGTGGGCGTTGCTTTCACTTCTACAACACCATTCTGATAAAACAAGAAGTCAAAGATGCCATCATAATTTTCAATGGTAGTGATGGTGCGAGCCACGAGTACTTTGGTAGGCAGGCCTCCGTAAAATTTGTATCCTTTCTTCTCCTGAGTACGGCCCTTTTCAAAGTGACGCCTTAGCGGAAGGCCGCTGTCCTGTTCAAAGACGCACAACGCATTCTTGACGACTTTAGGTTTGTCTGTGTCGACAAAATAAATTGCGTCGAAGAATTTGGACGTTTCTGGGCAATCAATTCCACCAATCAGCTCAATAGACCTCGCTCCCATCGTCCAACCGCCATATACAAAATTGGCAGCCATGAAGTAAGGAGAGAAACCCGAATAAAATGATATTGCCTCTTGCAAGCTGAGCTCATAAATGATTCTTCGGCCACTGAATCGAATATCAAAAAGTTGGGGACCCGAAACCGAGTCGATCCGAAAATAGAAGCTCCAGCCCATGTATTTGATGTAGCTATCCCTGGCACTGAATCTCTTTCCGTCTGGCTCAAACATTCGTGGAGCGCGCATGGGTTTCTGGGGCTGGGGGATTCCACGGCGTTGCAAAGAGGAAAACAATGGCTGTTCGTCCTGGTAAACTGTCGGCGGGGCGGGGATATTCGATTTCTGAATGTTGTCTTTATCGTATTGAAGTACAAGGGTATCGACCGTGTCAAATGACATACCGTGATAGTAAACTCTTTTGATATTCCATTTAGAGACGTCTGCACCTGCAAAATCTATGTATAGCTGAAAATCGACTGGATGTAGGTATGTTCCTTCAACTAAGCCTTCGCGGGTAAACTGGAGCCAAGTCGTGCGTTCGTAGCTTGTTTTTCCAAATGGAGTTTGTGGTCGAAACCTTAAGCGTGTGTTTGTGCAGTTATGGTAGCAATACCCATCATAGCTCTCATTCAGAAGTCTGAAGGCCTTTTCTGTTACATTGTACACAATCTTCTGAATGGCCTTCTCTTGCACCATATCATAAGGTCTTACATTAAAATCAAGCGCGTCTCCATGTTTCGCGTATGTCATTTCCGCAGTGTCGTTTGGCCAGCTGATAATATATTCTTGAACATTAGGAGGGTTTGCGGAACCTTGAAAAACAACAACAAGCGCTTTTCTTGGTGGCTTCCGATCGCTGTCGGTATCCAGATATCTAAGAACTTCATCTTTGTCGGGAAAGTATCGTTGGATTAGATATATGTAGTTGTCATTCACCGAAGCTTTGTCCATGGTCTTCAGCTTGAGCGAAGATTGTTGAAGCAAAAAATCCCTCACGGCGATTAGTTCTTCGCTCGAGAGGTCATTGAAAATGGCTTGCGACTTCGGAAGTTCTCCGTCCTCCAGAAGGCCATCTGCGCAGCCGTGTTCTTCTTGCTTGCCTGGGTATTTATCTTTGTACTGAGCAAAATCTACTGCTACCACAATCAAGGCAATGAGCAGCCCTAAACAGAGCAGCGATAATATAGTAACGGCGATTTTCCATTTGATAGGCACTACATTTGTTTTTGCGCCCATGACGATCGACGAAAGAATTAAACTGTTCGGATATTTTGTTACTACCAAATCACGCTTCTGATAAGCACGCGAAAAGATGGTGTTGTGGGCAACTCACGTTATTGCAACCTCTGGGTGCGTATATACAATACACCAAGTCGGTTTTTTTGAATTGAGTTGCGGCTTTACTCCTGGCGAAAATCACGTTCATTCAAGTATAAATATTCATGTTATTGTGGCGTGGCACCTTCTCAATTCAGCTGTCATTCTGTGAATAAAAATTCTCTACAAGGTATTTTTGTGAATTAAATGTTCCAAGACGACGTACGTGGCGAGGCTTTCTGTGCACAGTTAAGGTGGCGAAATTAAAAATCGAAAGAAAACGGAAATTAACAGCATTATCAGAAGACCATAAGGTACACTTATCTCGTCTGTCTGTTTATGCAAGAAGAAAAAATGAAAGAAAAGGAAAATATAGTCTTTTATGCAAATCGACTCATTTGCTATCGACCCCATCTTGATTTAACCGTAATATAGACTCATACAAGGATTCTCAAAAGAGATTGTAGTTGATTTTTGAGTTGTTTTACTTTTTTCAGTGACCAAACGATGATAAAATGCGCGATAATTTTATATCTGGACGTAGCTAGAACACTTTTTGTCCGGCGGTTTGGTGGATAGAATATTTATGAATAATATGTTTATTGACGGTCGGGAGTTTCTCACTAAATTGCGGTCTTCTCAGTCATATCCACAAAATTAATACTCATATTCTGTGACCACTTAAAATGGTATATTAAGCTTAATTATTAAGCCGCACAGTTGAAGCTTAAGTCCGGATTTTTGAAAGATGTTTTTCTATTGATTTCAGAAAGAAAATAAAACATATATTGCTTCTAACGGTCGTGCGTCAATGTAATTTTTATTCTTAATTTGAATCTGAATATGTAAACATTTCAGTCAACGGATAATGAAAGGACATAAATTCAACAAACTATAGTGACAGCTTTTTCGTGGTTTTGACAAACTATTACCTCTGGCCAAATCGCTAATGAACAAAGAAAAACGGTGGAAACAAATCTCACAGTTTACTCGACCAAGTTATATATCCGTTCGATTTAGTAGCAGGACGTTTTGCACAGGGCTTTGATATTCTAATAAAACACGTGTTATTTTTAGGTGAGCTAACAAAAGACTGTGTCGGGTTTTGTTCTACTTCTTATTCAGAGTGACAGTTATCTGCAATTTTGCAGTCACGTTTTAAACTGGCAAGTTAAATTAGAAATAAATTAGCCGAGGTTTCTGTGATAAACCTTGGCGCAAAATCTACCTACCGTCGGGCAATTTAACTCCTTTTATTTTCAGTATCAAAAAAAAATGAAAAAAAAAAAAAAGAAAAATAATAATTAAAAATAAAGAAATAAGAATACTACTTGGAGGCTTTGTTTTTTAACTTCAGCTTTATATAAATAATTAATGATAAGGTTTGTTTTGAAGAGACGTTCCAGATAGTAACTGAAAAGGTAATTATAAAATGAAGAAACTGTCTAAGGCTAGGAAACTACTAAGTTAAAATCCAATTAAAATCAAGTAAACATCTTTACAAAGCATTTCTTAACCCTCTCAGAATTAACACATGGGCCGTTGTAAGGTAGGCCCTGTTCTTCAAGTAATACGTGAGGCGAGAAGATCCTGTAGGGGACGCAAGGGACCCCATTCTAGAGCCTCAAGAGTCCCTCTCTTAAACAGCGCATCATGTTGGATCCGTGTTGAACACTGTGATACCCAAATCTAAGAGAGAATGAACTGATTATCTCTTAACTTCTCATTCTCTCTTGCCAAATCTTACTTAAGCCCGGTTCAGACGACGCTCAGCACTCATGTGCCGAACCTAACTGATGAATTAAGAACAGCAAAAGAGAGGCGTCTGAATCAATTTGGTACGGCGGCAGCCGTTTAGTTTGGTGCGGTTCGACATAGTCTGTCGAAATTTTGTCGAACTTATAACTTAGGCTAGGCACACTGTGCGCTGTCTGAATCAGATGTTGCCTGCGAGCAAGCTCTCCTATTTGGGTAAGCGAAGTGAGCCTCTTGAGCACGCGCGAGCGAGGGGCCTTTCCCCTGCCCCTCGCGGCTTCGCCGCTCGCTCGCGCGTTCTCGCGAGACTCCCAGCATCACCTCAAACAAGGATGCAATAAATAAAGAGTGATAAAATGAGAGAGTTAAAAAGGTAACACCGGAAGAACACATACGCTATAACTACAATTTCCTCCCCAGGGTCTTCTCGTTTCCCACTATATCGCCGCCATATTGGAATTCGAGAATACCCTGGCGACAATGCTTTAATTATTACTTTTATACGAACGTGCAAGAGATTTTTCCATTAAAACATGAAAAAGGCATATCCCACTTGGTACGACTGTCCCTAGGAGCTTCAGGTATAACACAAGCTTAATGTTAACACATGACGAAACAAATTCTTCCCTAAATTAATAAAATGACAAGTTTCTCGCGGTCTTACTCGGATTAAGCTTCATCAAATTCCCGTCTGCCAAGACATCTGCGTCAGTATCTAGTCGTCAGGGTACTCTGAAAGGTGGGGCTCATATCTTTAATAACCATGTCGGTAAAAAGAACAGGTCCCAGAACAGTGCCCTAAGGCACGCCTAGATTGATAAGGAGGAATGGAACTATGACACTCCCACTCATATCATTAGCTGACGATCTTTTAAAGAATCGAAAACCCAATTAATTAATAGGCACTTTCTTAAGTTAATCAGTGAATATACTTTGGAAAACTGCGGTTAAAAGCTTTGGAGAAGTCAATAGAAAAACGTTCTAACAAAGCTGGCACTGCGATCAAGCTATCGCAGCCAAGAGATCGGTCTCAGCGTCTCAGTTTAACAATCGTTTTTATAGGGAGTGAGATTCATGGTTTGAATAAATAAAACAAGAAACAGGTTTCGGCTCATTCGAACTCCAGGACTTTAAATGGTCATTAACTGATATCTGTCTATGTTGGCCCAAAGGAGAAATACCGTAAAATTCCGAAAATAAGCCCCGGGGCTCATATTTTTCAAAGGGCCTTTTTGAGGGGCTTATTTTTGGAGAGGCTTATATTCGGAGGGGATTATCTACGGTGGGAAATTTGCGTTTCAAACTCGATTGGGCTAACCTTATAGTTGGAAGTAAATTTACCATTTTTTCTTTGTTTTACGTTGTATTTGAGGGCAACTTTCCAAGTACAAGCCCCTGGGGGGCTTATATTTGGAGGGGCGCTTAACGGAGGGTTTTTTGCGTTACCGGTTTGGGGGGCTTATATTTGGAGGGGCTTATTTTCGGAATTTTACGGTATTCGTCATCTTGAGAATAGCCCGTAATCTCGTACCCAGATCTCACTCTGTTGGCCGTGGGAGATCTGGGTACGAGATTAAATAGCCGCCCATTTGCAGTCTTCCGAATCTTGGGTACTCGCTGTGTAGCAAAAGAAATACTGAAAATATGTGTTATCACGGGTTGGGGGTCCAAGACATTTTCCTTTAAAAAGAGATGGCAAGTCATCATGGGTCATTTTCACTTGCGATAATGCTTTAAAGACAGATGTATCATAAATCACAGGAACGTTATGATGTTCCATAATTTCCAACCGGTAGGTTTCACACAATTCCCCAAGCCTTGAACTGACGTCTGAGTAAAAAGAGTTAAACACCGATTTAACTACCCTGGGTACCATGCAGAGACTTTTCATGCACAGTCAGTCTGGGTTTGGTCATAGCCGGTCCTATTGTAGCTTCGGCTTCGGGAGCTGGCGTACGCGCTAGAACTTTGGGGACTGTGATCTGCTTTACGCCCGATAGTCCACTTTGCCATTAATGAGATACATGTATCCAGAAGACTCGTTTAAAAGTGAATTTGAAAATTTGGATAAGCCCTTTTACCCTAATTTGCCTATCATTGTGCATGAATTTCCTTTTTCAAAAATTAGTTTTGTTTTAATAGACTTCATTAAGATTTTATTTGACAAACATGTTCTTTAATAAATAGCCTTCATTGTTTTCATCAAAGCTGACTGCCAAAAAGTCGGGAATAATATATTTCGGTGAAAAAGTCCTTTTGACTGGCACCAACTGTGCAAACAAAGTTAAACAAACTACCACGAACCCATCAAGCTACTCGTAGGTTGATCCCGTTCACAACATAAAAACTCAAAACAAAAAAAAGCAATGAATGTCTTCAACAGTGTGTGTTTAAATCTGATAAAACACCGCCGAGGTTTTTAGCCTCGGTGTGTGATTTCCTGAGCCAGATAATCCTTATATTATTCAAAGAACATTTTGAAACCTGATAAAACTAAACTAAACTAACCTTTACCTTTTAAAAAGATGGGAGCTTGCAGAAAGAGATGGTGTTTTTAGCTTAGAAATGAGATTCAATGGTTCAATCCGGATCAAACTTGAACAATTTAATTAAGCGCACAATTTTAAATTAAAAAATATTATAACGCTTCTCTCACTGATTCTTAAAACATGTTGGTTTGCGTGCCATGTAGTTTATTTTCGAAGAATAATACTGCTAATTGCTATTTGGTCATAAAAAGAGTTTTTTTATTTCTAATGACGTCAATTCAAGATAAGGGAGACGTTCAGAATAAGAAGTACGACAGTTTGTTTGTTCTGTTCATTAAACTCACTTTTTAAAAGCAGAATAGTTTAAGTTTTTGCAGATTCTACATATTAATTTCAATAGGTTTTCAGTCTTCTTGATAAGTCAGCAAAAATGAGTTCTCTGTTATTTCACCTTCGTAGCTAATGTTATGATGAAAGAGTAGGAATAAAAATGTTCAAGTTAATACAGCGCTAATTCGTCCTCCTGAAAAGCTACTTGAAATCGCAATCTATCTTGCCAGCTTAACAGGTTTTGCATAGTATCGCCCTTGGTTGGGAAAGTGGGCGTTGGCCGGTTAGAGTGAAAGTAGACTTGGGACGAATGTCCTTTCGGTCGGACCTGCGTTTTGTCCATTA